GCCCTCTCACTACGGGACTGGTATCTTTGCACTCAGCAGGACACGCGAGGCTTTACGTATCGCTATGCTGGCAGGGAGAACTCGGCACTGGATGCTGCTTTCCAATTTCACGACTTTCGCACCGCTCAAGCAAAAATGAGGCGAGGTACGACTCCCGCGCGAGACAAAATCACCGCTAAAATCCTAGCATATCTACCCGATGCTGCGCACCAGTCGCTTCTCGACTATATTTTTGTGACCTGCTTTGGAAAAACACCCCTCCCACTATACTGGAAGAGGTCTCTAGTAACCTTTATTTCAAATCCAGGAACACCAAGCAACACTGAGAATCTCAGACCGATGTATCTCACTTCTTGTGCGGGGAAGGTAATGAAAACTATCGTCAGGGATCGTCTCTCTCCCTTCTTGGAAAAGCGCTAAATTTTTGCCGATTCTATGTATGGCTTCAGGCACAAAAAATCTTCCCCGGACGTACTCCTACAACTACACCACGAAGTACTTAATCCCGTAGAACACCCATACAATGACAAGATCGCTAGCGCTTTACCTTAAGGATGCCTTTGATAACGTCAAGCACGAAGTCATCCTACCTCACCTAGGTGTTGCTAACTGCGGCGAGCGCACCTTGAACTACATTCAGAACTTTCTTACTGACAGAGCTGCGTACATTCGCATTGAATATCACGAATACGGCCCCTATTCCTGGGCATGCGAGGTACACCACAGGACGCTGTGTTGTCGCCTCTGCTGTTGAACTTAGCTATGGCGCAGCTCCCGGCCCACTTTGCTGCTGTCGAAGGGTAAAGCATGCGCTTTATGCCGATGACATCACTTTGTGGGCCACAGCGAGGTGCCTGGGCAGCATAGAGGACAGCCTGCAAACCGAAGCCCATATAGTGGACAAATATGCGGCATATTGCGGCCTCCAGTGCTCCCCACAGAAGTCTGAATTCGTGCACCGTCGGCCATCGGCAAAGTGCACTTCGTCCATTAACCTTTCTCTGCACAGTGGACCTATTATTGAGCTACAGAAGATCTGTGTCCTTGGACTCCACATTCACAAACACTGCACGGTCGAGGAAACACTTCATAAGCTGCGTAAGTGTGGAGAACAGGTGAACTGTATGACCTGCCGAGCGGCGAGGTCCCTAAAGCAAGGAAGCGCTTCCTCTAGTACATCCTTTTGTCACTAGTCACATCTTGAATGCGACTCAGTACGTGCACTAACGAACGCTTCATGAAGATTCTTTGGAAGTCCCCACCGCGAAGTCGTCAAGAAAGCCCTAGATCTCCGATCGCTGCTTCTAATGCAAAACGTTTTGCCTTGGGAGTGGTAAACACCTATACCGGGAGCTGCATTCACAACCAGAGGCGTGGCTGTAGGTAGAACGCCTACTTGCCACGCAAATTACCCTGAAACGACGCCCCCCCCTTAGATTTTTAATTTATTTTATTTGCAGCTTCCTTTATTTTTCGATCACGCAATGATGATCATTTTTCGCTCACGACGAACGACGCTTACGCTGGAATTTCTGCGAAACGTGCTTTTTAATGTTATCGAGTTAAAACAGTTCAGAGCACTAGCGTACAAGGGAATGACAACTGGCAAGAAATAACTTGTGCTAACAATTGTAATAAAATTTCAAGAGTACCTTGAATAGATTTAAACAGCATAAAGAACGTGGCATGGAACTCCAAGATATCGTCTGATATATAAATGCTTTTTCTGTTAGATGCAGCATCAGTACCGGCGTAGCCGTATAGACTATTTAACCTAAGACATCTGGGAACCACCATCATCAGCTGTCAAGGCAATATTTTCTTGTTTTCGGCACTCAAAAACGTAGTCTATAGGTAAACGCAAGAGAGCGGCATCAGGATTTGTGCGGCCATCTAATTGTGGTACGTGGGGCTTGCAAGTGGCTAAGGGTGAGTGAGTGTCGTGGCTCTGGCACAACTAAAGAGGGGAGAAATTTTGAAAACAAAAGACACGTGGGCAAGCACGCTTACGGGACTGCGTGAGTTCTGTCACCGTAAGGGGCGCGCACACCTCACCGACTGGTGGAGTAGGACGAAAGAATAAAATGATGCTCTTAGTTTTATTGAAGTGGCTTTGTGGTACCAGTATGAGCCAGAGCAGTCAGCGATTATTGTTTAGTATGGTATAGCGCTTTCCCCACACTATCTTGTGTCTTAAGATACTGTATCTACATTATAGAATGTAACGAGTGATACATTATCGAATGTACCAGAAACACAAATATAGATACTAGTTTTTCAAAACGTATCACGATACATGATACCCAAATATATTATCCAAGATAGTATCTCAGATACATGCATCTTTGATATTGCTAAGTCTTGCCCATATTCTCTTGTTGAGCAAACAAACTCGCCGTCACCGTTCAGAGTGAAGTATTTTGCACATACGCTCAGCATGACGCATCGATGAGGTCTTACGGTCAAAAAGTGAAGCAACTTCGGTTAGAATAAAACCCTGTTTCTTCTTCCCATGTTATCTCGCTTTTTGGCCATGTGGCCCCCTTGATGCGTCATGCAAAGCGTATCTACAAAATACTCCACTCTCAACTGTGTGGCAAGTTCGTTCGCTCAACGACTGGCTTTGGGCTGCGCAAGGGATCCCCCTCCCATAGCGGAAGCTCTCTTGCGTGAGTGCTTTTCCTAAGCACAGAATGTCAGCCTGTCTAATGAGCCCTATTAGGCAGTCTGGTCGGTAGGAATACACCTGTATTTGGGAAGGGTGCCTTGTCATCTCGACTTGTAAGGTTCATTTGTTAACATCGTGTCCCGTAGTGTTGGGGGTACTTGCTATCTGGGAAAAGTAAGTGAGTATGAACTTTATTGAGGTCCTGAGAAGAAAGAAAGCGGTGCCGAAAGCCCCGCCAATCAATCCGGTGGCTCCAGGTTGGGACCGGTAGACTGAGTTTTTCGGCGATGGCCCGGGCCCTCTGGACAGCCTTGAGTAGAGCGATTAGCTCTGTGCTTCGAGGGCGGAGTCCCTGGAGGAGTGGTCAGAAAATTCTGTGCTCATGTCGGCAGGGCATAGCCAGAGCGTATGGTCGAAATCGTTATATTCGTTGCCACAGTGTGGACATACAGTGGAGAAGTCACTATTTATCCTGCTTAGTGTCGTTGGTGGGATGTATGTACGAGTCTGCAACTGTCTGTAAGTGATTGCTTGTGCTCTGTTCAGATCTCTGGGAAGAAAAAAAGCGGACGAGAACTGATTCGTGGCTCTGCGCAATAATCTCAATGAAATCAATTGGTTCACTAGCTAATCAATGTTATTATCATTTTGTGTCGACACATGTGAAATTGCTTCTTGATGGGGTTTTCATTTAATTTATTCTTAAATTCGAATCATTCGTTTGCGTACTGTAAGCACTTTTGGTGTCTATGTGCGTTTCTATCTATCTATCTATCTATTGATTGATTGATTTGTGGGTTTTAACGTGCCAAAACCACCATATGATTATGAGAGACGCCGTAGTGGAGGGCTCCGGAAATTTCGACCACCTGGGGTTCTTTAACGTGCTCTATCTATCTAGACTTTTATGTCTGGGTGCTTTTGTGATTACTCCCCTTAACTTGACGTGAACCAAAGTTAGTATAGAAGGAACAGGTAGTTTGACGAATATGACGCTCTGATTAATACATGAATAATGTAACAATATTGTCACGTGGGGCGACAAATATTTCCCGCCAGACAGTGGCACATACCCGCGGATGGGTATGTGCCACGGACGGGTACGGGAGTATGTGCCGCAGGTGATTGACACTTAGTATCTGTCCAGGAACGACTAGAACACACATCAGCGATTTGAACGCCTGAGCGTTAAGAAAGCAAAGAATAGATGTCAGTGTCCAAGCAGGAATCGAGCCCAAGCATTCAGCGTGGCAATCAAGCATTCTCCTACAAAACCATGCTAGGTCTGGAAACTACTTTTCAAATAGGTCCTATATTGTTCGTGAAACGTCAATTGTGATTGGCATGCTGGCTATCCAATTGTATAAACTTTACATACGTTTATACATGCTCATACAGCCGTGATTTAGGGTTAACATCAGTCGTAGTTAGGTGTCATGCGCTGAAGTGCCTTTATGTAGCAGCGTCCAGGGCTACCATCTCGCGAGCACTAGCGCTTCATATCAGCTTAGCGATTCTGGTGTTGCTAACACTCTTGTTCATGTTGGCATCATTGCGCAAGTGAGAACAACTGGTTATATAAACATCTTCAACTCTTCAACATATGTCTGTGTGTGCAACCTTTTTGCATATATTTAGCGTGAGACATGTCGCTATATAAACATTACAACATGGTCACCTTCCGTCCGAATGCTTTGCATAACGTCTGTGCCCGAGGTACGTGGTATCTGCCGAATTTTCATCACTAATGAAAGAGAGCAATGCTTTTATACATTTGGCCAAGCACCAACATTTGATATAAAGTTTGTAAACTTCTTTCATTTTATAATATTATAATAGTATAATATTATATTTATATAATATTATATTAATATTATTATAATTTTGTAGCATCACTGAATTTTCAGCCGGTCCCCTCACGCCCCCCCCCCCCCAAGGTGTGTGTGAGCCACAGTTGAAGGCGAACAAAAACAAGATGAACATGGTAATCTTCTTTCAATTTCACGTAATTGTATAGGATGTTTTCCGTAATAACGCAAGTCGGTGGGTGTCAGCGATTGCACGAGCTGCGTCAAATCTGAGCATTTATGCCGCGTCGCTAAATCTCCGAGTCTCTGAATGTGTGCGAGCTGTAATGAATCTGCTCTGCGCTATGTGAAAACAGTTTTGGTGTATTTCATTGTGTCGATGCATGGTTGTGCCTTTAGTGACTGCGTTTTTCTTGCGATCAATCATGCCTTACTATGAAGAGAAAAGCCATGTTCTTTCTTTTTTTTCTATTGTCACCGAGTATTACTGCAGCAATTGTGATTCAAGTGAACTGTAATCGCAGAGCACCAGGGACACCTTCTACTCGAGAATGTGGGACTCGATGACCTCATTCAACAACACCATGACGGCTACTAATGAAGAAGGCGTAAAGAGAGTACGCGAGTCCGAGGGCAACTACGCCTTCATAGTGGACACTGTGAAGATAAAGTATGCGACGCAGAAGGCACCCTGTGACCTCATGCAAATCGGCGAGACATTTCAGCCGTCCGGCTATGGTGTCGTTGTCTCGCACAAGTCACCGCTCAAGTAAGGATCAATTTCTTTTAAGGGAGAAGAAGCTCGTTACGCCGTGGGTCGTATGTCCGTGTCGTCGTAGTCGTCGTAATAGCCAGTTGCATTGCATTGCATGTCAATAAAAACAGTGTCACAGCATATCTACGTAAAGCATGATGATGAGTGGGGCGAAGCGTCCATCACTCCGTTCATGCGTCCGTCCGTTCGTCTGTTCGTCCACCTGTCCATCTATCCATCTATCCATCCGTCCGTATGTGCTGCGGCCAACCTCGTCATCATTCACGTCGAGGATGCGCTGTGATTTTTTTTTTAATTCTTATGAGAAGCATGTTTCCACAATAGCAGTTAAGCGAGCCGTTTTAAATAAAGTTACGAATATGTGAGAAAAATAACGTGTGCACCCTTTAAAGAGTTAAATTTCAAGTGACAAGTGTAGCTGTACCAGAGCGTCAATATTGCCCCGCCGCGGTGGTCTAGTGGCTAAGGTACTCGGCTGCTGACCCGCAGGTCGCGGGATCGAACCCCGGCTGCAACGGCTGCATTCCCGATGGAGGCGGAAATGTTTTAGGCCCATGTGCTCAGATTTGGGTGCACGTTAAAGAACCCCAGGTGGTCGAAATTTCCGGAGCCCTCCACTACGGGGTCTCTCATAATCATAGGGTGGTTTTGGGACGTTAAACCCCACATATCAATCAATCAATCAATCAATCAATCAGAGCGTGAATACTACAGCTGCGTTTACCAGAATTTATATGCATTTGCTCGATGCAAAGACTGAAGCTTAAACAGCATAATGACTCCGCTAACTGAAGCGGAGTCTGGTTTGTTATGTGCAATCACCACAAGACCTCAGCTAGTAAGCTCAACTTTAAGCGCCCTGCAGAGTACGAACGCACTGTACTGCATAGGTCAACCTAAAGAGGAGGATGCGAAACAATGCAAGTATATTTTCAAGTTAAACTAAAAAGAGACGAAATTATGATTATACAGAGCGTTTCAGACAACACATTTTTTTCATAAAACTGCAACGACAGTCGGCTTTGGAAACGAGCAGTACGCGGAGGCGGAAAAACACTGCCGCGCCTAAAGTTACGCTGCTATCAGTAATAACAATATTTTGTTAATTCATATTTTCAATATATGTACAATCCACAATAAAAGCTGGTTCAAGGACTGATTTATCTAATGACTGAAAAAAATTATACTTGATAACAGTTGTTCATAGGGAAAAGTAGTAAGAATTCACAATTTATGCCGTACCATTTTTGTACATCTGCCTGCCAAATACCCCAGTTTGAAATATATCGCGGTGATATCGAAACTGAGCTCGCAGAAAGTATGTTATGTCAGACTGAAAGTTCATGTGACAAACTTTGAAAGAAAAATCACAGCGTATCTACGGATTGAATGGTGATGAGTGAGGCTAAGCGTCCGTCCGTCTCTCCGTGTGCCCAACCGTCTGTGCTTGCGTCCATTCCTGTGGACGCGTGGACGGGCAGACAGAATCACGAATGGACGGACAGACAGACGGGCACACGGACGGAAGTGCGGATGGAAGCACGGACGGACGAACGGGAGCACTGACGGATGAATGAATGGGCTACTACTACTACTACTACTACGACTACGGAGGAGAGCCTAAGGAGCTTTACCCCTGAAAGGCGCGTCGCGCCAGAGTCTGATCGGAAAGAAACGGCAAATTGTCTCGATACACTCACTCAAGCGAGCCGCTCATTTGTTGCGTTTGATGCATACTGCTCGTTCGTTTCGTTGTTGATCGAATCTATACATAACTACAGAAAACGTTTTAGCTCCTCCACGAGAAGTAGCAGCACAGCGGCTTTCTTGTAGTTTTACAGCGAACGGAAAAAGTGGAAACTGGTTTTCCGGGCACAGTGCCACAGGAACAAATTAGCCGTATTACACGTCAAACGCGAAGAATAAGCAATCCATTTGGATACTCGCAACGAATTTCCGTATTTTCTGAGCACATTCTGCTGTGACACAGCTCTTTTTTTTAAATTGATCACGTGAGCTTTTGCTCTGACATGACACATATTGCTTATTTCCTATGTGTCCGGGGCGCCCAGTTTCATTATCACCAGGATAGAGGCCTTGAATATTGATTATTAGTCTATCTAATTACGTGTTTCTTTGATATTTTTATTGTATTAGATAAATTGACTTGCCCTGCTACTTTTGATATACAAAGTACCATGAAGTCGTTATTTAAAAGGTAGAGTAACGGGGTTTATTACTCATTTCAAACTGACAATAACCTGACGTGTGCATGTCGATTCTCGGCTGAATATTTTGCTAGGCGTAGTGCTGGGAGTTGTCACGGCGCAGACGCAAGGAGAGAAGCCAGAGCCCAGAGGCTTTGGCGTTAGATGTAGTCCTAGCAAAATCACTGATTACCATTATATGTAGAACAACTCGGGGGAAAAAAAACTGCGACACCATCATTCTTTTCTTGCTTCAGAAAAATACTGGACGTCAGTATAGCCAGGCTACAAGAAGACGAGGAACTTTACGCTCTCTACAGAAAGTGGTTCGGGAACGAGGAATGCCACCAGCCAGAACACGTGAGACCATCTTTTCCATCACGCCTGCGTAATTAAATAACCGTTAAGCTATTGGCATCTCTTGATAGTGTATACGGTATTTTCAGCCACCGTGTTAATTTTTCTGCGCACCAAGTCATATTCTTCGCTTCCCAAATTTGAAAACTTAACAAAAAAAAATGGCGCCTGCAGAACCCATGAGCCATAAAAAGTGTGGCAACAGCCTATCGCTGAAGCAAAAAAAAATTATTGCTAAATATATCCGCAACTACATTATTGCCAGCCCAACTGTGCAGGTGAATGAGTTTACGTTAGACAATAAAAGAAAGATAGAATAGCCGTGTTTTACTCTGCAGTTTCACAGTGAATGGATTCAAAGTAGTGAATTGAAAAAAAAACGAACAAATAACATAATTCACCACTAGAACGCGCATATTTTGTTAGTATTAACAAGCCCGCATCGTATGTATGACCAGCTGCTATCGCTGTGGTTGAATGTGGGACAGCCTCGGTGTGTTAATTCTTGACGGCGCTGTGTAAATAATTCGCCTACACAACTTGGCTGCCTATCCTAAAGTTGCAGGAAAATTCAGCAATGATTGTGCCTTTGCTTCTGCATCAGTTTGTTGACAAGCTTTCATTGATCATGGGTTCTGCAAGTACCGTTTTTCTTTTTTACGTTCTTGTGCTTAGGAAACAAAGAATATGACTTAGCGCGCAGGACAATGAACTTGATGGCCTACGATATCCACTTTTTAAACGGCCACTTTATTTTCCTGTAGCCACTTTTAACACGCTTAAATAATTGCCTCAGTGCGCCGTATGTCTGGAAATGAACTCTTGGGTGAAGGACGAGCCGCTTAAAACCGGCAGCTCGCGATGGTTACAGCCTAAAATACCAAAATTCTCAATTCGAACAACCATAATTATATGATTATGGTGAATTGGAGACTATATATAAGTTTGGGAATATCTAAGGCCTTTAAGCAAATTAAACTCCAACTTGTTTTGTTCTCTTCCTTATTCTCACCCCAAGTCAAATGCGGACGCCATGGTCTAGTAAGCACCATTAGCATCGACACTCTGGCAGGCACCGCTTTTTTATATATTTGTCCGAACTAAATGCCCCGCACTTACAACATTGCTGTAGAGGCACTACTTGAAGAAGAGGCAGACGCCTGGGCTGTTGCACCTTCATTCTCTCGCAAGAAATCATGATCTATTGACTGCACAGAGAGCAGTTTGCTCACCTGGTACGGCGGTTCAATCTTGTGTTGAACTGTGAGAACTATTTTAACAGGATATCAATAAGGGCTGCTTTTGTAAAATTACTTTGTCTAATGACCAAGAAAGTGAAACTGGGGTGCTTAGCCAGGTATAAAATTTTCGCCAACGCAATGCCACTTTTGAACAAGATTTAAGCCCTTTAAATTGAAATCGCAGGTAGCAATGACGCGTGAGGCATCAATGTGTTTCGTGCACATACGCATACACATCTATTCAAAATTGTATCCATCAGTGTCTAACAGCGGTAGGACCCATTTTCATATATTGCGCTACTCCTTTTTACTCTGTAAACCAAACAATGCTTTTGCTTCTTGTAAACGAAACCTCCCGCCGGCACACTAAACATATTCGACATCGTCATCCCACGCTTCAGCTGTCTCATAAAAAAAGGCAGCAGATGCACAGAAAGCACCTCAGCTATGAGAGCGTGTGTCGCACCAAGCAAGCGCCGAAACGACGCCCTCGGTGGCTCCACGTGGCGGCAACCTTGGGCAGCGTATGAAGCTGCCCCGTATTTTGCGTGGCGGTGAACTTTCGTGGCCGTAAGGAGTATTACCCATTAGGGTCAAGTGTACTTGACAAAGTACACTTCCTCATTCTGGAATAAGAAATACATAACACAATATCCTGACTCTGCTCATTTAATTTTGAACGCCAAGGATTGCCGCATGATAATGCTGACTTAGCATATTGACTCTGTCCTATCTTTTTTGTATGAGTGATTAAACTTTTGGAAATTGAGAGCCCCCCGAACGCACGCAGTCGTACTCTTTTTCCTCAATTTGTTTCAACTTGCAGAATTTATACGGTAAAAAAGCATATTGCTCGTGCTTCAGCAAGAACAAAATGGTCCCTGCACAGTCGACAAGTGTATAGACAGCACAACTTTGCTCAAAGATGTGACCGAATCTGGGTGTACTTTTCATGGTACAATGAGACTTTGTGGGAGCTCACGCGTACCTAATGTTGTGCAGTACCTCAGAGAATGAACCAGCTATTTCTTTTAAAGAAATGTCTTTTTTATTACTTTCAACCCATTAGGCTACGACCGATTCTTCTGTGAATATGCGAGAGCCTGTTCAAATTTTCATTGTCGCTTCGAACCCTAACATAGGCACTAAGGAGGAGAAGGGGAATGACGACAGTGCGAAAGGTGCTCCCTGCCAGCAATAAAAAATACGGAAAGAAAGGAGCATGGGCGGTGTAGTTTCTGTTTTGATACCGGGAACATGTTTGTTTCGTAAAGGCCCGAGAAAAAGGCAGAGTTGCTATTCTGCCAAATGAAAAAAAAACAGTACTTTATATGTTCTGTTGTAAAATTGTGCTGCCTATATTTACCCATATGATATAAATAGCAGCATACAAGGCATACGGGGTATGCAACTGCACTGTATGCTTCAGCAGACTCCGTACGTGTTGACTATTGCCCTTCTGACTCGAAATAGCAATACACTCAATTGGCGCTGTTGTACTTAACAGAATCGTCAAGACGTCTCTAGCATCCGCTGAGCTATGACAGTCTATCCATACCGCTACTTTTACAAAGCTTGAAAAACACTGCAGGTATACCACCATATATTAAAATACTGTGGCGAAAAGCGCGATGTTGCGCTTTCAAGAAAGCGCCGGTGCTTCAATAAGCTACATGGACCAAGGTCACTTTTTTTTTTTATGTTGCAAGGCCTACCGTACTATTCATTCTTGCATCTCACCAGTTTTCCTATTGCTATCTCGAGAACCCAGCGCCTAAAGTACAGAGTCATAACTTTTGCAAACATTCCTGTACTCTATTCAAATTTCACTTCTTGTCTATTGCATTTGATTTAATGTGCCCTACCTCAATAAAATCCAACCACCAACCAATACTCTTCTTTTGTGGCCATAAGAAGCATTAATTGACTCTGGCACGACTCAAGTAGCCGGGATATCCTCGTAAGCAAAGCGAGCTGCTAAGGGTCGGTTGCTTTTATTACTTAGAATATATATATATATATATATATATATATATATATATATATATATATATATATATATATATATATATATATATATATATATATATTGTAGAGAAGCCGCCGAACACTGAAGTGGGTCAAACTCTCAAGTGTTCTCTAGTGGGTCTACCCAAAAAGGACGCCGCTATATATATATATATATATATATATATATATATATATATATATATATATATATATATTATAACTGACATCCGTGTCTTTTATGAATGAACAGAGTGCCGCTCCCCTGGAAGTAACCAAGGTGGGCGGTTGGTTCGTCATTCTGGGTGCTGGACTTCTCATCGCGGTGGCCGTTGCAGTGGCCGAGGTGTGGTGTAAATCGCCCCCAAAGCCACAGAAGCCCAAGGAGCCCAAAGAACCGAAGCCCAAAAAGGAGAAGAAGAAAAAGGAAAAGAAAGACGACGAGCATATCAAGGTCAGTGTAGATCGGAGTTTATACATAAAAATGGTTCATTGCCATACTTTCATGCTTCGTACCCTTTACGTTACTATTGAGAAGAATGGAATGCTTAACATGTTCTTTAAGGTTGAAAATTTGAAGCCACACATTCTTAGTATTGGCTGAATTAATTCTTAAAACGATGTGCAACAAGTGCAGTGACCTTTGTGCGCCTGATCGCTACAACAGAATCGTTCCAGCGAGAGCCCAAGGCGTACGATCCTCCGTATCACGCGATAAAGGCACACGTGTGAGCGTCCACCCCCCTCCTCTCCGCGCGCTGCCGCGTCATGACAATCTGGCGACGCATGCTCATTGTGCCATCTCGCTGATAAGAGCGTACTGTAGCGCGGCTATCGAGCCTCATAGAGGGCGATGATTGACACAGAACACGGACTACCCAGCAATACGTATAGGCAACGTATTTCAAGAGAGTGACTACGCATTGCTAGGAAGCAACGCACTCAGCAAAGTTCGGGCAGTGACACTGAATACGAGGAACTAGAACTTTACCGACGATACGTGTCAGCTGGTAAAGTTCCACCTTAAACACTAGCGCTCTTTTCTTCCCCAGTGGAAATATTTGCGGGTATACATTTTCTCCGCTTCCCTTCAGATGCCGGTGAGGTCGCGCTCGCCCAGTATCTTACTCCGCGCACGAAACGCCTCGCGTCTGTGATTGTGCTCTTACGGAAGGCTGGTAGTTTCTGTTGCGTTGGGATCCCACACCATAAACGTGAATGAACACGAAGGAGTTGATGCCAGCAGTGAAATTCCAGGGACACCTGTCAGAAAGCCCGAAATAGACAACCGACAGGCAAGTGTGGTGCACAGTACAGCATAAGTAAACTTGTGTTGCATGCGCTGGCAGCTCTCGTCGAAGTTCGTGCGTTCTGAGAAATTGATTTTCCATGATTGTGATCAACCATGATTGTGATCAACCATCACAATCAAAAGATGAAAGTAAATGCGACTATCCTAAAGGTTGGAGCTGTGCCCTGTCTCAAGTATCTCCACATAGGAAATAAAGTGGCAACTTCTCTATAGTTCACAGTAAAAATACGGACGCTGTTGTAGAACTACGTTCACTGGCGGTACATAGGATGCCCGCGATTTGGCTCTGTAGCCTTCGCTCCAATGCCAAGAAAAGTATTCGCCGAGTATAAAGGGAACTGCTAGTATCTTTAGGAGCGAAGCTCCTTAGGCCGGCACTCCGCTGTCACCGCCGGTCCACCGGAGCTTCCTGTCACATAAATGCATCCCGAGTCGGGACGGCTTTAAGCTCTCCCATAGTAAAGTACCCTGTACTCTAAATCGTTACCCCCCTTTTCTAGCCCCCCCCCCCCCCCATAAATGCATTGTCGGTGCAAAAAGACAATGAAACGATGCACCAATGTCAAGCCCTTGCAGACAAGCGTGCCGACAAAAACAAGTGCATCTGCACACCTCTCCCTCTTTCTTCGTCTTTGTCCTCTATTCTCAAACCGGCGAACGCTCGACGCCGTCGCTTCGTCTTGTCGTCAGCGCAGTAATTAGTCCGTCGCCTGCATAAGGTTCCTAAAGTTAACTAGAGGGGACTCTGGCACTGCGGTCGTTCATCGACCATGGGAACGATGGGTAGAACACGGATTTGCCTAGTCTTCATACTTGCGGGCGGCGAATCGTACTTGTGGCTTCGTTTATTGCTGGTTTCAGTTTCGTTTTGAAGAAAAGAACGAATCTTTTTTAACTTCGTGACCCGAATCAAAGTGGTAAGCCTAAAATAAGGTGGCGAAGCGTAACTGCTGTGCATTTGCTGATTTTCGTTTCGTAAAAAAACAAAAAAAACTGCTCCAATCCACACGAACACATACGAAGCCAGAAGCAGGCCACAAGTACAAAGACTAGACAAATACGTGTACAACCCATCATTCCCATGCTCGCTGAAGCGCCGTGCGTTGCAGCTCCCATAGGCACTAGCGCCAGAGTTCCCTCCAGTATATATTATGAAACTCTATGGTTACCTGGGCTGGCTCACTGCGTGTGCTGCGCACTTATTTGCTCCCACCAGAGGGCGCCGCAGACGCCCTCTCCATTCCCTTCATGAAAATCGGCAATGAGAGCAGGCGCATGCTCGGTTGCGTCCCATTTATGAGGAGCTGTAATAGGTTGTATTCATACACGTATTAAGTAGTAGTTTTTTACAGCGTATTACTCATATTAGACGTTGTTTAAATATTGTATGGAATAGGCGTACCAGTTAATTGTAAAGCAATATTTAAGGCAGCCAGAATTTAGCTAGAAACTTTTTAGACTGACTGATGAATTTCACATCGGCAATGAAAATTCTTGTGGCTGTATCCCGGAGTAGTGGCCCGGAAAAGGATGAGTGGTTTTGATACTTCCATAGTTATGTTTCGAAGTGGTGGCAGTATAAATATTTTCCTCAAAGACGTGAACTGGTGACACGATGTAAGTGAATGACCAATGCTTTCCTTCTGATTACAGAAGAGCCACAGAAGGAAATACACTAAGCTTTTTGTATTCAAGTAAACATTGAGTACTTCACAAAACATTCCACTATTGTCGCATTCATTCCTCACCTTTGCGATTGCGATTCCGATGGCGATACTGCGATTTTATCTTGTCGTATTCAGAAACGCATCAAAGGTATCAAAACAGAAATATGTGGTGCTATAGGATGCGCTCCATCATTTTCAACAATCGATTGGTGATAATTCTTTCTAAAGTTTGGCAACACCAGACACAGGAACCTTGATGCGAGGTGTCCACGTCTGCGTACATTTCTACCGCTGTGCGACTTTGAGCCGTTTAATAATCAAGGCTAGGAGACATTGCTGATTGGCTTGTTGGCTTGCAGGAAGAAGGTGTCGAAACGCAGCTGCTGCAGCCAGGAACGAACCCGAGCGCCTACACGGGAAGCTACGTGGGAGGCGCAGACCTCACCATCCAAGAAGTGGGCGAAGAAGACGAGGATGACGAAGTGGTCAAGGTTGGTTCGAAATGATTACATAGCGTAAATGAATCCGTCCTGTCCACAGCTCTTCGTTTATGCTCTGCTGTAATTTCGATATTGAACACCAGACCATTTACTGGTTCGCCGAGAAAAACCCACCATTTAATAAAATTATAAAGATATCAGTGAAGGCATAATGCTGCTCCGTGTTCATTTTTGTAGGAGAGTACAAGTACAATGCCTAAAATACATGGCACAATCAGTTTCATTATTACTGCAGACTATTCAAAATAGTCTGGGCCTGATAACCACTAACTTAACCACGCACACTCGTGTAAAAGTCAAGAGCAGGCAACGCGGACAGCAAAAATCCTGCTTCAGTAAAACAGTCGATTGCCAATACAGCAATGCTTACATGTTCGCAATACCAATGCATCATTCGTGTTCTGAAAACAAGATTTAAAAGAAAAATGCTAACGCAACAGTACATTAGGTTGCACGGAACCGCACAGTATACGTAATTTTCAGCGCTGATTCGGGAGCATTGTTTACAGTAGTGTTAGGAGCCACGAGGTCCCAGAGGAGTGACGGAGGCGTTACACTGCGCGAGCCGGCTGTGCGCCTCGAGCAGGCGCCACCCGCTTTTATTTTAGCAGCAAATCTGTTCACCGTTTTGTGGTAGCGAAAACTACCAGGACGACATCTACACTTCCAGCAGCGCAGTAACTCGTTTTCTTCATTTTCCGAGCTCGAGCAGGTGCGCGTGGCGGGCGTGCTGCGACGGTTTGTCTGGTGTGGGATGTCACAACCCCGGATGAAGAGACAAGGAGCACAGGGGAGATAAATAAAGGAATAAACATAAAAAAGCACAGAGGGAGAGAGAGATGAAAATGGTGGTACAAAGAGCAGGACAGAAAGAAAATGAACGCGGGAGAGAGCAAGAAAATTTTAAAAAAAGCAATCAAACGAAAGAAATGTAAAGAAGGAGAAAAAAAGAGAAACACAGCAGGCTCGGCACCGCTAGGGCGAAGCTGTCCTCGTCGGGAACCGACCTTGACGTCCGCGCCATGTGCGCCACAGTAATTTCATCAAGTTGTTGTGTAGGAATTGTACACACCTTCGTATCAAAGGTATCTTCGATGGTAAAGACATACTGTACTGCGCGTGCCTCTAAGTGTACGTCATTGTGTATCCTTCATGCTGTGAAAGAAATCTGTGCGTAATCTAACATCTACTGTATCAGAGACAATCAGTCCAGCTAAGACCACTCTGTCCTGTCTGCAGGTTCCCATCGCCGATGTGGAGAACTTGACTGACTCGGCGGACGACAGCCGTGACATAACACGCGACGTGACGGCTGATCGCATCGTTCCTCTGGCAGTGAACCCTCTGGAGAACCATCCAGAGATCAAGTCCATCGACCACAGCCCCGTAGAGTCGCCTAAAGGTGGCTACGAGAGCTCCGAAGTCTAGCCTAATCGAACCACGTCGGAGGACGACATATTTCCAGCACTGTTCTCAAGCCAGCAGGATGGGGGCATTTAACTGCTGGTGCCACGAAAAAAAAAAAACACTCATGGCGCTCACTTCACCGTAGGATCTGTGGCGGTGAGCTCGACGACCAACACTGTTTTCCCGCAATTCACGTAGGAGCAAGAACAGTGGAGCAGGCACCTAGAAAAACCGCTGTGTTCACTGCAGGATGTTCCCTGATGGTGGCTTTTGTAAGCATGGTATCTTTTTGTGTTTTTCATTTCCATTCTTCTCCTAAAGGGTAACGCTTTTCCACTCAAAAGAAAATCATACGAATGAGGATCATCACCCGGAAGTTTTACAAACTGGTTTTCAGAGACAAGATAGAAAAGATACATCAAGATTCGCACTATGTGCAGCAAAAGGTCACATGGTTTTCTCCCAGCCGAACAAAGCATGTGGGGGCACTTTCTTGAAGTCATGATAGTTAGACCTACAGAAATCAAACGTTCATCAGTCTTGCTTCATCAAGCGACTAATAGGAGCTAACGACATTGCTTGCCTTGCAGATTGCAGGGCACCTGATCATCCCCGAGGTTGTAGGTCGTGTATGCTTCAATAATTCCACAGAGAGTTAACCGACTCTAGCCAGCTTGCGAAAGTCCCCGTTTATCAAGACTGCTGTTTTGTGCGTGCTAGCTGGAGTTGTTTCAGTAGTTCTACGTGATTTTTTGTTCGTTTCCTGAGCATCCACACAAAAAACAGCGAAACCGCATAAAAATTATCATCAACAGAACTGAGCCTTTGCATCAAACGGCCAGCTTTCGTTCAGATATTCTGAACGAGAAATCTGTCATGACGCGTGACAACAACCGGCATAGCCGCCAAGCAACGCACACTGCCACTTTTTAAACTTGTTACTAGCCAAACGTTTTCATATCCCACTATTGCGCAGTGCACTATTTTCCCGACGTGCATGCACATGCATCAAGCTTAAAAATACCACAGTAATGAAGATCTTGACAGTGGCGCTTGTTCCGTTCTTCGTGTCTGTATTGACTCACTCTCAAGTTTATCCCCTGCACCAACACTGGCTCAGTGGAAAGTTATTCAGCGCACCATCGGAGAAATGCACTCAGCATTTCCCTGTAAAAAAGTATTTCAGATACAACCGCGAAGTAGAAAACCGTGCGCTTTTATCACAAAAAAAAGCCAAACATTTTTATCAGTGTTCTTCCCCTGCATTGCTAACGAAGTCAAGAATAATACAGTTGTGTTGGTTTTCTTTAGCCAATATTACATTGGTCTTTAAAACTGCGAAACTCGGCTCTATATGAGTCGCGTCTTAAGTAAAAAGGCCATGACACCTGCAAATAAGAGAAGCTTTTTCATGTTCTTATTTGGCCGAACTGTAAACAGTGAAAAGAAAACTGTTGCAAAACGTTATGCTGAAAGTGCATGTTTCTGTTCTTCTGGTGGAAAATCAACGAGCTAACAATGCAAAATAGGTGCGTTTCGCTATATGTCACGACTCATATGCGTGGCTGAAGAATGCATTTAGAAAAACGATAAAAACTGCTACCACACTGACTCCGGTTATATTTCCGTGTAAATTGCTTTTATAAGTTTTCACTGTGCACCCACTAGAATCAAATTTAGTTTATTTTGCAAGCTTCTCCCGCATCCCATTTCTGAATATTTTCAAGCTATTTTTTTTCAAGAACTGCACCACAGTTACAGCAAAGCTATTACGGCGGGGTTCTTGCTTTATACGTAGTTGTCCCTTCAAGCCAAACAAATCATACCCATCTTAAGGCAGTGATCACGCGAACAAAAAAAAATAGCTAGCGATCATTCTCCTCGGCGTAGAAGGGTGACCATAAGAGCTGACGGGTGCAAAGCTCCTTTGGGAGTTCTCAAAAGAATGTGAAAGCGCAGAGTTTTATGGCCATCCCTACAACGCAACTGACGGGCAGCACTGGCATGGACCTTGTGCGTCGCTGCGCAGAAAAAAAAAAAGGACGACGACGGATGCTAGCGAGCCCGTTTTCTTTTGTGCCATGATGACGAACTTGCATAAATTTATTCTTGCAATCGTCACCATCTCGAGCGGCCCCTGAAGCGCGCATGGCGAAACAAACGTTCCGTGTCAAATTTTCGCTAAGCGGCTGTTTCTGGGCGGTATCGGTGCTGGTCTTCAGTTTAAGCGCCCTGCACCACAATAAGTGGCCTGGAGCCTAAGAAAGCACTTCGCGAAGCGCATGTTTGGCATCAAGTTCTTGCAACACCAGAATATTCTGGGTGTTTGCAATTATGCGCACTTTTACGCAGGGCTGCTACTCTACCGCAAGTAATACCCCATGTAACAACAGGAAGCATCCGTGATAGGCGCCAATGACGAGGCAACATCCACTCTTGTTCTCGGTCTACACACGCGAAGATCCGTTGGGCATCACAGAGTAACGCTGTGCCCAAGAAGCTTGTCAGCTGCTGAATTCCTTCTTTCTGCGCTGGCAGCTTGACGTGGTTGTGGCTCCTACGGCTACGTGCGTCCGCAAACGCTCCGATAGTCACACTACGTGATCAAGTGATGCCTGTTTGTACCAGATCACGTCGTGCCCACTGTTGACAGCTAGCGTACAGCAGCCATCCCATGACGTCTCTGGAACGATACAGACTCGTCGTCGCCACACACAACTGTATGACACAGCGCAGTATGCTACAAGTCAACCGTGCGTTTCCCTGTCACGACTGCCCTCTGAATGCAATCGCGTGTGCAGTCTTTCTCGCGGCTGTGGCGTCATCTTGTCGCACCACGGGCCGTTTCCAGTCCTGCTTCGATCAGTCGATGGGTCTCCGCATGATTGGAGGCGCTTCTCAAAGCTCTCGTGAGTCACAAACATTGGCCATTGCGTGCCTCCTACGCCGGTTGCCGACACCACGAGAACACAGCACGCTCTGCTCAATGGTTGCGCCCGGTGTCTTTTCCCTCTGTGTCCCAGCGCTAGTCACGTGCTGTTTGCTCAAACGGTCGCACGGGGGCGCTGTCTTCCTTGCAGCGTCCGTCGTGGTGCGCGTTCGTGAGGAGTGATGACGCCACCATGTTTAGACGTAGATCCTCATCGACGTGGGACTGTGCTTTCAGTGTAATTGTACCCCTTTCTGTACATTCCTCTACAAAATTGGTGATTCTTGATGTAAGAAGCTGCCGGTGAGCCAATGGCACTGATTTTGCCGCGTGCATCTTTTGAGTGCACAGAAATTATTACGATGAAGTTCTCGGCTACCTCGCGCTTTTCCCGTTTGATGGCGGGCTTTCATTTCGCATCTCGTTTTCTTTTTCTGGAGCTGACGCGCAGTCTGAAAGAACAATCGTCCCCTTCACCTTTCTACGAACACACAATGAGTGTGAGGCTTAATGCGTTCTCAACACGACTATAGCTCTCCTTAAGCAATCTAATACGAAACAGGCGACCAGAACACTGCCACAGATATAAAAGATATAAATGCGGTGATCACATTCTTTCGTAAGGAGGAAGCACGTACGTGTCGGAAGTTCATCATGCTGCTGAAACCATGGCGCCAGAGAAAAGAAAAAAAGATGACGGCATTAAGAGAGGACATGCGTGCACTTTCAAGTGAGGTTTCATTGCAGCTCCCGAACATATACAGGGCGCCCCAGCACATGTACCCTCTCCGCGTCCTCTCCTTATTGGGAGAGAGGGCGCATACGTAAGCGGAGTTGCGCGCCCTCTCTCTTCATTAGGGGAGAATGCGGCGCCGCGTCAGAAAGCCACGCGCCGACGCGCTGCAACGAGTACGCGGAGTCAGGCCTTCAGAGTTTGAAAATATGCTGACACACGCAATGACGACGCGATCAAATGCATGTTTCTGGCTGTTGCCTGGAGTGAGTCAGACTATTTTTTTGTGTTCTGATTAATTGCTTAATTAAGCCCTTTTTATTAAACTTCTTCAGCAACGAAATTGTGCCAGAAATGCCAATAAGGATGTTGTTGATCGGTTTGCAAAACGCCTGATTAGACAGTCTTTAGTTAGATATCTGTTGATTTGTAGCGTTTTCGCTAACTACAAATGCCTGCAAATCACGTGAAAAATACCACGTGACAAGCGCGCACGATCATTCTGGTGCTTTCTAACGTTCCTCGTACGAACGACCACAGCGTTTGCCCGAATGCGCTGTTTCGACAAGTCCATGACGGCGGTGGTGGCGCTGTCACTGTGGCTGCATATCACTGTCATGAACCGGTGCGAGGAAAGCGTGCCATTCGTGCACGGAACGTTAGGGAGAACCACAATCACTGCGCGCGTATAGGCGCGCCAGTGGCTATACGCGCGCAAACATAAAGTTCGATAACGAACAAACATAAAGTTCGAAACTGTCTAATAAGACGTGTATAAAACAGGTCTATAAGTTTCTCATTGGAATCTTTTGCCCATCTTTGTTCCTTCAAAAGTTCGTTAATCAAAGGGGTGAAACCAAACAATTATTCATAACACAAAAACTGTCTAAGTTCCTCCAGGCAACGATCGGCAACATGTATTTGGTCGTGTCGTAGTACTTTTTAAACTATGGCTAAAGATAGCTGTGGCACCACGTATTAGACACATCTGAATCAGTACAAACCAAAAACAAGGACGGGTGATACGGCCATGCTCGTTTCTCTGTATTTTTGCATTTACAGATTTGTGCATGCTCGTGATCTACAATGGAGCCTTGGTTGAAGGTCATCATTCATCATGTATTCACCAAATTTTTTTTATTTATTTACTTTCTCATTGTGGTTTCAGCAACACGAGTGTAAAGCAATGGTTACGCATTACACCGACTCGGCAACATGTCAGCAATTCTGTCAACCAACGCCAACAACCACAAAAAACGCAGTTCCAGAAGATGTTGCTATGGCCTCTGTTTTCGATATCGGCTACGTACTATGTCAGGCAACAAAACTGGCTCCTACAATCATATTACGTACGATTGAGTACCCGTGCTAAGTGACCATTCATTTGCACTCAATGTTAAATTTAATTGCAATTTTCATCCAAACTAGTGCGTGTTCGTTCTTGTTTTGTTTTTTATATCTCGACGGAGGCATAAGAGAGCATATCAGCAGCAGCTTAGTTAGTTCAAACAAGTCTACTTTAAAAGCGTGTTCTCATCTTTAAGAGTTACGCAAAGTCACATTGATTCTAAACATAACGCTGACCCACAATAGCAAGGCATTTGACTTTATTTAAAATTTTTGGCTTCAAACTAATATTGCAGTGTGTCTCTGTGTAAATAAAAAACGCGCAGACAAGAAACTAATTCCGTATTTGCGTTCGAATCACTTTCATCATTTACCCTGCATTATCAGTGTCTATTTTCCTTT